TTATTTTAATAATCTATTGTCCTCATCTGTTCTTATGAAACGTGGCTGATGTCATGATGAATTGCCTAGAAAGCTCCAGTTCAATAACAGTAGCAGCGAGGGTGGTTGGTGGGTGTTCTGGTGTTGTTTGCTCCTTTTTTTTTCTTTTCAACATGTATCTTCCTTATCCCTCCTCCTTTTTGTGTTTGTTACTCTCGTGCTTAACGGCAACAGAGGATGAAGAAGTAAAAGTAAAAGTAAGCACTCTCTTGTAGCACCTCTAATCATCGGCAGTTATATGACCTATTCGTGTTGCAAGTGCATAAAACTCTCACTTAAGCAAAACTAGACAGTAGCAGCAACAACAACAAAAAGTGACAGCTACATTTTTCTCACAACGACTACTGAAAAAAACTGATCTAGCAACAACAGCCACTACATTCATGTATGTGCAGCCACAACACAACTGAACTCGGTTTTAACACCCACACAATCGTCCACTCTCCTCCTAAGACCTAACTGCGTTGCAAGTGTTGTAAAGCGCTTACTAAAACTAAAACAAAACACACTTCTCCCCCAGTGAGTGGTTGGCGGGTGCTCTGGAGTGGTTTGCTTCTTCTTTCCTATCAAACATCTATCGTCCTTATCTCCCCTTCTTCTTTTTATGTTTGTTACTTTCTTGTAACGCCTCTAATCTTCTGGCTCTCATATGACCTTATGCAGTTGCGAGCGCCGTGAAACCTCTACTTCTAAATCTAAAACAATTCTCCCCCAGATCGAAAAACTTTGAGAAGGGCTCCGACTACAACAAGACGTGGAAAGCTTCCGAGGATGGCAAGGTGAACACGAACGGCCCGCGGGTTATGGTGGACCAGGGCAACGGTGGCGGGCCAACCGGCGGCTACATCACCAGGTGAGATCGGTAGAACATTTAAGGTACATAATGTATAATCTCTACTTGTTGTATTTGTGAATGTCCGTCACTTTGGCCGCCTAAAACTTTCGAACCTCCTAACTTTCGAATTTGACCTAATTAATGTTGGTTCAGAATCATTTAAAGGGTGCACAGTTTTATGGAGGAGCCTGAAGTCACTGTAGTTTAACTTTCACTTTTTCGTTAGTTTCGTTTAGATCTATTCTTGGGAAAGTCCGTCTTCTAAGACGCCATTGTAAACAAGTGGGGCTTCCATTCACAAGGAGTGGGCGCACCGATCCCACAATGACTTGGCGATCGATTCTTTTGAGTCTTTCTTTGAACAGGGTACCCAGCTAGTATGTATGTATGTATGTGTGTGTGTATATATTTATATATATAGTATCTTTGACTGGGGATTACATCACCTAATGAGGACAGTCGAGTATTCTGTAGGGTAGATATAGTGTCTTTAGCTAGCTACTAATCTCTAGGTGAGAACAAAATATATGCAGGTAGTCTATATTACCAGATGAGGACAGAAGATATTATTGTAGTATCTTTGACTGGTGGCAACATCACCAGGTTGGGAATTTAGAGCGAAAACATCTGTGTTAGGTACTCTATCTTTTACTAGTGGCTACGTCACAAGTGAGGACAGTAAACCATTTCTAGGGTAGATATAGATATATATATTTGGCTGGTGGTGAGGACGGGAGAACATATCTAGAGTAGATTTAGTATCTTTTAGTATATTTGGCTGGGCTACATTACCAGGTGAGGATTGTAGAGCTAGAAGATCTGTAGGGTAGATGATGTATCTTTGGTTGGAGACTACATCACCGGATTAGGACAGTAGAACATTATTACGTTAGATACATTGTTGTAGCTGTGGCTGGCGGCTGCATCACTAGGAGAAGACGGTTGAACATCTCGAGAGCTGAAGTAGTATCTTTTAGTATCTTTGGCTGGCTACATCGCTAGGTGAGATCAGTAGAATATAATGAGGATAGATACAGTATCTTTCATTGGTGACTGCGTCACCAGATGAAATCATTCTGAAACAATCTCAACTTCCTGAGAGGCAGACAGTGCAAGCTGAAGTTTCGAAGGCGCTAAAAATTTAATGTTATAAAAAAGCCCACCTCTTGAAAGTATACGAAAGAGAGCGGTAACACATTTACCTTCGTTGAGAGAGTTGTACCTAAAATTTTATTGAACATTTTCTGGACTGTATAGACCAAAATTGTCTTCATACATATGCCCAACACAGACTGCACGACTTGCTGGTGGCATTATGAAACTCTCAACACCGAACTTGAG